TATTGTTATTGTTATTGTTATTGTTATTATAATTTTTATTGTTACTTATTATTGTTATTGTTATTGTTATTGTTATCGTTATTGTTATTATTATTATTATTATTATTATTATTATTATTATTATTATTGTGCTAGTTTTGTTGCTATTATTATTATTATCCAATTTTTGTGGACGGTGAAATTGGTAAGGTGAGGTAAATTAAATTTTTTTATAACAAGGGTTAGAACGTAATTTCAAGTTATAAATGCGGGCGTTAGTTGGAAATTCGAGGGCGACATTTAGCGTTCCACTTTTTGTATCATATTAATCTTATTAAATAGTATTTCAAAAAAAAAAAAATCATTTATGATATATTTTAATAAGCGACTTAAAAAAATATTTCATTCATTATTAAATATATAAAGTTGTACGATTAGTTAAGTTACAAAACAACAAAACTAAAGTCGTATGATTAGCCTAGGCACGAGACATTAGAACTTGGCATCCTAACTTTTTGTCAAGTGACGTTACACGTAGGTAACAACTAATCATTAGTCTGACATGTACTCCATCCGTCCCATAATATAGTTCCCATTGTGTTTTTTTCACGGTATTTAAGAAATGAGATGAGAAGTGGAAAAAGTACATTAAAAGTGGAAAAAAGTTAGACAAAGATACAAGGCAAGTGGATAATTTAAGGGTAAAAAAGTGAAAAGTACAATTATAAACAAAAGTTAGAGAGAGAAAGTGGAAAAAAGTACAATGCAAGTAAATAATTTAAGGGTAAATTAGAAAGTTCAATGAAAAAAGTTTTTAAAAAAATAAGGGTATAATGGTCTTCACATACTATCCAAATTTAGAAACATGAACAACATTTTGGGTCTCCAAAATAGAAAAACAGGAATTATATTGTGGGACAGAGAAAGTAGTATAATCTATTTGGGTAGATTTTTTAGGATAAAGAGGTGGATATAGGTGTATTATTAAGTTTATCAAACCTGAGTACAATTAAGACATTAAAATTACAACTTATTCCACAAATATCACCCAATAATATGAAAGTAGGAGTAACTCCAAACTGATTTCTTCTAATTGCTGCTCTGACCATGCTACTTACGTCACTTTCTAGAACTACCAATCTCTTTCCCAATATCACCACAACTTAATGAGCGGTCATAATACTTTTTTTTTATTATTTTTTTTTTTATTTTACAAGTATGATTATCAAGTGATTATTAATTTTTGAGTAGAAAATTTGAATAACATAGATATATTGATCATATATAGAGTATATTCCTATAATATATAGTGCGCTCTTACAAAAAAACAATGTTATCTTACAATATATCTCAAATCAAAAGTAATATAACACTGTGTGTATCTATAATATGTTTTAAAATTTGATAAATAGATAAAAAATTTATCTTAAAATTCAATAAACAATCCGGACAAAGTTTATCTTAAAATTCAATAAACAACCCGATTGTCCGGACACAAAACTAGTGTTAAATAAAGGTATTGGAAAAAAGGCCTAAAATAGGATTTCTAGAAATTTAGTAAAGTAGTCAACTCATCATCTTTTTCTCTCTTAGGTTATCCCACAAATATAGGATTAACTAGATTTAAGATTTACCCCCTAAAAAAATATCCATTAAAATAGTAAAATATATCTCTAAATTCCTCTAATTTTGTGCCGAAAAAATTGGTAATTCACTTGATCTTTAAGAAATTGCTTTAGGAAATTATTATAACAAAGGGATTTAATTCATTTTATTTGATAAAAACATATAGAGTAATAATAATAAGGAAAAAAACACACCCAAAAAATGTTGAAAACAAAGAAAAATGTTAAGGTAATTTTGTTTATGGTAGCAATAATGTTAATGATGATTGGCATTGTTGTGGCTAAATGCAAAAATGAGGGTGATGTTTGTTTCTTTGCTCATGGATGTTGTCATCCCTACAAATGCAACAGTGTTATTGCTGGGTTATGCCTTGAAGAAGGTAAACGAGATCCTGGAGCTTTTAACTAAACACTATCATTTATGTTTATGTCAAAAAAAACATAAAAAAAATGTATTTAAATTTGTAGTTGATATTTATTTTCTATTATTTTGTATGGTGAGATATACGAAATATTTGAATAACAATAAGCACACTTCTTTTAAAAAGTGTACGTGTTACCTATATTGTTGTAATTTTGTATGAATTGTAACTCGTACAATTAGAAAGACATCATTATATATATAGGGTTTGTACGTAAGACATGGCCATATGGGTTGACAACTTGATAATGTCCACCTCTGCTTATTTAATGTGACAATTAACCTTATAACTCTAGTTTATTTTCCATCATTATTGTTTCTGATCTGATCTGATACATTAGGTGTTTCCCTCATGAGAAGGGTTTCCTTATATTCTTTTTTTCTTTAAAAAAAAAAAAAAAAAAACCGGACGGATTGATAATGTCTTTCGTTTTCTTACTTGCTTAATGTGACAAATCAACCACATTAGTCTCTATATAACTCCGGATCCAATTGTTGATTTACGGGCAATAAATTCCATCGAGAATATATTGAATTACAAGACCACCATGACTTATGCACTAAAGCACAAAATGAGATTCAACTTTGATGTGTTTATTGCGTTGATAGATTAAATTTGCAACAATACAAGTGGTAGAAATATTGTGACAGATGCTCAGACATCTAATTTAACTTTGCAACAGATGGAACAAACCATGATGTTTTGACCATTTTATAAGGCATATAGCTTGATATTATGCCTACGAAAAACTTGTTGGTGACAATGTTAGGCTTTCAAGTAATTCAATAACAAAAACTGCTTTAACAATTGTGGGAACAAAACCTAACTGTGTATAATCAATATCAAATTATACAAAAATCCAAATACAAACCAATGTATTTCAACCAAACACCAAATTACCAAAGTATTACAGAAAATACAACGGAAAACACTAGTGTGAAAGATAATATACTTGCCTCTACTCCAAGCCTTAACAAACGCACATGAACATGAGAAATTCAATGACCACTTGAGTCTCAATCCTTGATACACTGTCTTAGGCGTGTAAACACTTTCCTAAAGAGTTTAATTTCCCCCACAATGGTGCTTGGGTTTGATCCGGAAATACTCTTTGAGATACAAAAGACAGTCAATCGTTCTTTGCACTAAGAAACGAATTGAAGATGAATAATTCACAAAGAAGGCAAAAATCAAGAAGATTTCTCACAAAAGTTTGCAAGATTTTTGAGAGAAATTATGGAGAATTTCTTAGGGAGAGAATGAGAGAAAAATCTATATCTTCCTTAACGAAAAAACCAAGCCTTTAACTTAACCGTAAAAAATTCGCGAAAAACAGATGGTGCGGGGGCTCCACCGGGAGGAGCGGGCGCTCCTCAAGGTGGAGCGGGCGCTCCTCTTCTGGAATCCCAACTTTCTGATTTTCCAGAAAGTTGACGCGATTTTGTCGCGATTTAGGCGCGGGCCGCGCCTAATAGTGGTGCGGGCGCGCCACCTGGAGGAGCGGGCGCTCCTCCAAAGAATTGCCAGATTTCCAGAAACTCTTCGCGGTTTAGGAGCGGTTTCATTGCGGGTCGCGCCTAGCTAGTGCGAGCGCGATCAATCAGTAGAGCACGCTCCACTCCGACACTCTAAATATTCCAACAGACAATTGGTTGTTTCTTTTTGCAACAAGAAGTTAGATTTAAGCAATCGAAGATAGCATAACCTGTTGTATGTAATAAGTCGGGAGCTATTATGATATTGAAGTGGCAAATCTTGGATTAAAAAATGCGCGAGGATGGAGGGGAGGCAAGGTTCAAACCTTTAACTTCTACTTACAAATATAACTACTTAACCATTGTTAAGTTTTTTATATTCAATTTAAGGCTACGTTTTTTTAAATAAAAGAACTTTATAGTTTTTTTTTTGAACAAAAACAACTTATAGTTGGTCTAAACTTTAACAATACCCAATTAATGGGGTTCATGCTAAATTTAGCCGAGAGGTAGTTATCTTTGACTAGGTTCACACTTCTTAAAAAAAAAAAAAAAAAAAATTGTTTTTGACTTAACGAGCAAGAAAATAGACTAAATTATCAATTATCATACTTGTAATTAGCCCTTAATGTTAGTTACACTTTTTGACAAACCTCAAAAGTAATACCCAATTTCCATTTAAATACATAAAGTGTTATCCAAAGACCAATACCCGTAAGACATAATAATTGTCTATATTAGTCCCCTTTATGTATTAGTGTCCTTATAAATCCAAACATATACAAGTATCAACCCCACTTAATTGAATATTTAGGTAATCTTACTAGATATAATTGGAGCTAATCTATCTCGTGTCAATTTATTGGGAGATATATTAATGTAATCCAAAAAAATTAACAAGTCATACTTAATCTTGAGTATTAAATAATAATTTTACGAATTGGTTGATCTATAGCAACAAGTTAATGTAAAGATTTTTCCATGAATATTTTACCAATATATATACGAAAGGAAAATCTTTAAATTATTGAAAATAACAAATTAAACTCGAGATCTTTAAATATCGTCTATAATTTCCTTACACTAACAAATAAAGTTCTTTGAAATGAGCAATCGACCTTATAGCACAAGGTACAAGTCTTACTTTATTATGATAACTAGATATTATTCCACTCCTATAATCCTATTACAAGTGTAATAATTAGTGGTAATATTTGACAAAAGCTTGCTAAAGTAATCATAGCCCTAGTAATCAAAGTATGACTCGGAAGGCTTTGCTTTAGGAGTCCTTTTCATAGCCAAAAGATTAATCACACTTACACATTAATTATACATAATTAACTATTAACAATTACACTTATATTGTCCTAATCTATCACAAATTAAAGTGTTGCAGTTGAGTCCAAAATCCTGTCCTATTGCTTTTACTTGTTTTCATGCGTAATTGCACATCGCTTCGAATCCATAACGCTTTTCTTTTATTTATTTATTTTTTGGGTCGAAAACTCGAGATTGGGTTAGTCTTAAGTGTACTTTCGTAATTAACTTTCTGCTAATAATCTTTCAAATCAGCAAAAACTAATCAAATTTAGTTGAAAATTTCTGCCTACCTTAACTCTTAAGGTAAATTTAAACTAGACTACATGCTTTTCTTGAATTTAGACATCTTTTTCATCCTTTTTACTTTAACTTTTAATTTTTTTTGTTAATGTAATAATTGTTTGGTTAATAAGTGGGGAAATTAGATGAGATGGAAACAAAATATTTGTGCTTTACTTGTACAGAAGTCATTCTCTGCACTTGATGATTCACTCTTCTTTTCTTCCCTTTTGTTTTGGGTGGGGAAGAGGGTGTCCTTTATTTTTTGGGATCCTCTAGTTTAAGAACTAGTATGTGGATTAAGCAAAGGAAGAGCTTTTTCAAGCGAAACCGCGCTTTTTACGACGAGCTTAGATAAAAGGCCAACATTCCTTTCTCTTTGAACTAACACTGCTGCTTCTTTAAAAAAAAGTTCCCTTGTTTCTATCTATGCCTTTATATAACTTGTGTACAACTTCTGATCATTCTCAAGTACTCTACTCTGTTCGTCTCTCTTTCTCTCTGCAGGATTGGCGAACCACAAAAGTTGGTGAGTTTCATCTCTGTATGTACTTGAATAGTTTCATCTGAATAAATTGGTTTCATGATTTGGGTGCATGATATTTTAATGGGCAGATTGACACAATCTAGAGGGGGAAGATGGGTACAGCGCAGGTGCAGCGTCTGCAAACGAGTTGGGTTGTGTTTGCAATTCTTGCATTGACCATCAGCTCGAAGTTGGGTGTTTCTGAAGCTCAACTCTTACCGAACAGCAATGAACCAGGTACATATTGCAGAAAGTTTGCCTTTGATTACTGGAATAACCTGCTTAGAATTATACTTCCATAGTTAATAAAGAATATGCAAAGCATGATATTAGAATTTATATGAATTTTCTTATCAAATTCAATCAGCAATAGTAAATATGAAATAAAATTAGGAGGCATGAGTTGTAACAAACATAGTGATAGTGAACTGATAGTCGTACAATATACAATGGCGGGACTCGAGGGGTGTACAAGGTTTGTAACAAATATACTAATTGGTGATCATGGTTCATGCAGGAAGTACATCGGTGCCAACGCTAGATACCTTCAGCCATACCACATACAAACCAAAAGATATAGTACGGGTAGATCCACTGGAACAATTCAGCAACTACAGAGGCGGCTATAACATCACAAACATCCATTATTGGAGTGTAAGCCCACCATCTCTTTCTACAATAACTGTATTAACTATGTTCCATCTATTATAATTTTAATATGTCTAACATAGTAACTTGTTTTGCAGTCGACTTTATTTACTGGAATTTATGGATATGCAATCGGACTGTTATGGCTCATCTCAGGCATTGTGTATGCCATATATCTAATAACAGCTTCTTGCTGTAAAAGTACAAGCAAGAACCAACAGCTGAAAAACAGAACACCATGTCACAAGCCGTGTTATCTCTTCCCTCTAATTTTCACCACATTTTTCGCTATCCTAGCAATGTAAGCCCTAAAAACATTACGATATTGCAAACTACGAAATATATGCCAAAATCCAAATGCATATAATAAGTACCTTCCTATGTCGTGTTAATGATATAGAAATATAATTTCAGAATTGCATCTGGGATGGCTCTGGAAGGAAATATGAGATTTCATTCGGAAGCAAACACAATAATGAGAGTTATAATCCACACTGCAGATCAGGCATCCAATACCATATACAATGCCACAGGACCAATGAGAAAGATTGGTGCAAACTTACAGCAACAAGCAATGGATAGTATTGATGGTGTGGATGGGGCTGATACTACAGATATGGCTGCTGCAGCTAGCTTCTTGGCTTCAACATCCGACAAGCTCGATTATGCAGCAACTGGCATAAAAAGACAAGCTCAGAAAAACAGGCTCTTAGTAGAGAAGGGTCTGACGATATTGTATGTAATATATTCCTAGTATTTCTCTCGCCCCTGAATTTCTTTAGCACAGTCTCTCTCTCTCTCTCTCAGTTTTCTTATCCACGTGAGCTTGATTGCAGGTATATCCTGACCATCGTCACCATATCCATAAACCTAGCTGCTGTGATAGCTCTTACAGGTAACTGCTTCAGATCAAATAAACATGTAGTATACAGAAAATGACAGTAGAATCACACTTAACCAGAAATAAAGAGAATGTCAAAACTTTATTCTTTTTTATCATCTGACAATAACTTGTCTTCAACTTGCAGTTTTTGGTATACTGAGATTTCGACGAGTACTACACATGTAACTACATCAAACCTTTAGAATAACCCAACGTGTTGAAACAACATATTTCCAATGCTAGAAAGTGCTTACTGGTTCCTTAAATTTCTGCAGGCTAGTCGTATTCTGTTGGATTCTAGCAACCCTCTGCTGGCTATTCTTTGGGGCATATTTCTTCCTTGAAAAGTAAATTTCCACTCTTCTAATTGATTATCAAATCTCAATACGTGTAGCTAAGTGAAGATCCCATATTTGTTTAACCTAAAGAGAGTCAATAATTAAATAACTATGCAGGTTTTCCTCCGACACATGCCGAGCTCTTCAAGACTTCCAACAAAACCCAGACAACAGTAGCTTAAGCTCAATCCTTCCTTGCGATGAATTTCTTTCAGCAAGAACCGCATTATCTGATGTTGGCATTGGAGTCTATGAAATTGTAGACCAGGTAATACATAATATAAAGTATATTGAGATGAAACCATACAATCAGTGATGCTCATCACCTTTTTCATAAAATCGAGTAGCACCAGCAATGCCAACTTACTCATTAAAAATTCAGCTAGACACCATTAATCCTGTGCATATTATATGACAGGTGAACACAAATATCTCTCTTGTGAGGAGTTCTTCATTCCCAAGTCTCCAATACGTATGCAACCCTTTCTCTGGACCACCTGATTTTACGTATCAACCAGGAAACTGTGCAGCTGACACAATTAAGATAGGAGATATTCCACAGGTATGCCAAGAACTATTAACACCACTCCACAAGAATGCAAATACTTCATTAATTGGTGGGCTAAAAAAAGGCTCATTTTTGCAGGTGCTGAAGATGTTTACTTGTTCAGACACCAGCGGGACAAGTTGCCAGGAAGGAATCATAACAAGCAGTGTTTACAATGTCATAGAAGCTTACTCAACTTCAATACAAAATCTGCTAAATGCATACCCAGATATGGAGAATCTAGTAGATTGCCAACTCGTAAAACATGCATCCTCAAGGATCCTAGTCAAACACTGCAAGCCATTGAAGAGCTACGCACAGACAACCTGGGTTGCAATGTTGGTACTTTCAGTGGTGATGGTGATCTTAGTCCCAATATGGGCAATTACTGGTTATCATGAACGAAAACATCATTTTGCAGATGGTTCTATACAGCCAAATACCACAGGTGCAAATCATGTGGATCCTGAAGCAGCTAAAGCAACTATTGCACACCAAATCCAGTAGTCTGATTGAGATTCAACCATAAAGCAAGAATTTCTTAGCAAAGCAAGAGAATTAAGGCTCTGCAATAACATAAGAGTACGAGTACAGTAGGGATGCCTGGAAGCAGAAAGCAACCCAGGAGCTCCTACACACCTTAAACAAGCTAGGAAAACTGGAAAAGTAACCCAACAGCACCAAGCTCTCCAAGTAATTATAGACTTATAGTGTTGGAGAGAACTAAAATACACTCCTTACGTCCTTAGCATAGCCTGACAAACAACATTTTTGTTCAGAAGAAGTGCGCAACAATATTTTTTACAATGATTGTTGATAAATTTACAATATTATAATGTACATAAAATACTGGGACCAACCCCATGAAAGGAACACAATGTGTTGTAATTGTATTTTGTAACACTATATTCAAGAAGCTACTCAACTTTTATCATGAAATTAGTCTGTCAAAGAAGTAAAACGGAAAAATAAGATAGGCTGTGGGAGGGATAAAAGCCACATCACAACGCATAGTCTGGCAGCAAGAGATTTTACCAATTTCACTGTGTGGTGCAAAATTTGTATGAGGATTAACTATGAAACATTAATAAGGTAAGTAAGAAAGCAAGTTACAGAAAGAGAAAATGCATTTGATTGGCTGCATAGAACATAGGTTATCAGAGACACAAGGATGGGCAGAGCTATGAGCACAGAAAGAAGCACAAAGATTGTACAATATTTGAGACACAGTTAGCTTCTCTATCCTTGATTAGAATTATAAGAATATTGCTCAGAAAAAGAGAATAGCATATTATCTGCTAATAATAGAAAGTTATGCAAGATAAAAGTACTCGCAACTTGCAATAAAGATCTAGCGAGGTCAAGTATTTGCAATATCTAGTTGTAGATCAGAACAGAGAGAAATTTAGAATGTTTGAGAAAGTAATGCTTATTCTTATACTTAAACAGGGGTATCAATTATCACACTTGATCAACCAGAGAAGACAAAAAAAGAGAGAAAAAAGACTAGACACTGATAGAAAAAGATTGTGCCATGTAAATAAATCATGAGAAAGATTTTCTCATTAGAAATGTATCAAAGAAGTTGCAATGAGCCAGCTGTAAATTTCATTAATTCCACGAAGACAAAGTAGCTATGCCGCAAAACCTCAAGCTAACAATTCAGCTCGAACCACCTCCTTCCTGCAAAATAGGTGCAATAGATAATGAGTATGTCATCCAAATATTTTGCCTTCTTTTGGTGCTGTTATGGCCTTATGGGGAGGGGGTTACCCAAAAAAAAAAGTAAAATTTTGCAGCGAACATGATTCAAGCACAATGACCAATTACTGTGCATTTTGTGCCCGAATGCGGGTCCTTATCATAGGAAAGACTCAAAATGTTAAGATTATGGATCCAACTATAAAGAAATTCCAAAGCAAGCTATGTCTAAACAAATATTTCTGTCTTAAACAGAAAGCAAAGGTAGCTGGAATCTTTATTTAAGCATAACCTTTTCAAAGCCCATCAAAGAGTAAGAATATGTTTATCATTTTACTAAACCCTCACTTATTAGAACATCTCTGAAATCACTTACCCTATAACCCAAGAATATCTTTTAAAATTCATTGGAAATTAGTTAAATCTGATAATCCAAATTGATAATATCTTTGCCTCCATAAGGACCACTGGGATGGCTATGATCCCTATTTGTACGCTTCCTTCGTACTAGATTCCTACTTTTGCAAGTGACAAGTGCACCCTTAACATTTGTTGATCTACAAACCAACAAGGAAAATTGTAGTGCCAATATTACACAGCCTAGAGATGAACCAATAGCTAATCAATTATTTTAATCATCGGAGACGCATCTTCTAAATGGAAGTTACCAATGACAAAAAAGACATTAAGAGTAAAGATTTGGTCCTCTAAACAGCCTAAGTAGGAAAGATAGGAAAACCTCCATGTTCAAAGCTATGGAGTCACTAACTCATGCCTGCTGAGCCCCTAGTTGCTCAGTGCTCACTTGACATCACGATTCACGACATGCTTTAATTTCTCAAGTAAAAAGTCTATGACACCTCCCAATTTCCTACACTATACCAAAAGAAAATAATCGACATGAGAAATGTGACAACCACAAAAGAAAGCTAATCACAAGCATAGTCCACAATATATGCCAACGACCAATACATATTTCTACGGAGTAATTCTATTGATGTCAAAGCAGCTCATCGCATCACAAATTTACGAAAACATCTCCGTGTAAGTATGTAACATAAGTAAATAATACTCCTACAAACCTTAATTCATTCCATTTCACAAAACCTCAAAATTCGTGCATAATCCAAAATTAAAGACAATGCAGACACCAATATTACAACTTCCACTCACATAAATTGAAAAATTCTACTCTATCAAAGCAAAAACCATAAAAAAATAATAAAAATAAAAACAGTACCTGAGCATTTGAATGATGAGGAACAGATTCAAGAGTTGAAACCCTAGCTTCAAGAGCGCCAAAATTATCCTTCAACTGCGAATTCAAACGAAGAACAACAAAATTAAATTAAAAATTAAATCTAAAAGCAAATTGAAAACCCTAAGAAAAATGCATGAAATCAAAGCGAAGAAAATAGGAAGTTGAAATTGGGAAAGTGAAAGAGAGGAGAGAGAAAATACTTGATTGACGAGAAGGTAGCGATCTTTGGAGAGGTCTCGATGAAGGTAGTAAGCAATGGTGCCGCCGGTGAAGAGCGCGCCGGAAGTGAACCATAACAGCCGTGTTCTCATCATTTTCCGATCAAATTTCTTTTGATCCTAAAAAAACAATATTTTTGTCTAAATGTAAATTAGAAAGTCAATTTGGAGAATTTTGTAATTTAGGCCTTGTTTGACATCGTTTTTTGTTTTTTTGAAAACTAAAAACCAAAACAGGAAACAAGAAAAAGGTGTTTCCACTTTTTTGTTGTCAGTTTTCAAAATTATCATGATTTTAATAAGTTTAACTAATTTTTATTCATTATATGATATATATCATATGATTTAAAAAAACAAAAAACCAAAAAATAGAAAACCACAGTGATGCAAAACGAACCCTTAAGAGTGAATTAAACATTGGGTAACAGCCTAACAGGTCCTGAACCCAAAACTGGTCTAGCTGGGACTGGTTTCGAACCAAAAAGTACCATTTATGTTTTTAGTTCCGAATCAATCAATCAATATCAATCAATAATATAATACTAAAACAGACACCAGAAAAAAAAAACAGACACCAAAAATGACACGTGTCATTTACTGGTGCTGTTTTTTCCCTCCATTTTTTTTTTAAATAAAAAATTTAAACAGCACTTTATATACTATATGAAATCTTATTTAGTAATTTAAGGAAAATTAATAAAATCCTACTATAAAATCACCACCATACTACTATTTTAGGTGCAAAATATGGAATAATTGAAATCTTTCTATATTATTTTAAGTGCAAAATATTAAACTATTACCTTGCGAATATATCCTATCTTTTTTTTCCCTTAAATTTTGTATACGGTATATAATTGTGTATCATGTACAAAAATAATATTCAACGGAGATTTTTTTGGGACACATGATTATATGAATACCTTACTCTACATGTTAGGTATGTCTTACATAACTTGATTGATCTAATTGACTATATTATATATATACATATATATTTTTATACAATTTAAATATCGAAAATTATTCTAATTGACTTTCATAAGATATCCAATATTATATAGTATATGTTATGCTATTTAAATTTCAAAATATTTTCAAATTGACTTATATAAAATATTCATTTGCCAAATTTAATTAACATAATTTACGCTATATAAAAGCCATAAAATACAACTCTATTAGTCACAACGGTTTTTATTTCGTAACTTTAATTTTCACAACATTTCCCCATACTTTTTCATTCATAGCCGGATATTTCTCCTTCATCAAAGACTACCTACCACAAAAAGTGCAAAAGCGATTTTGCTTATATGCACTAATGTAATTTATTAGGCTTGATGTAAAGTGTTATTTTTGATAAGAATTGGTGTGGTTTTGTAGTCTAATGAAAAGGAAAAAGAATTGGATAGAAACTTAGCCTTAGGGAGGAAAAAAAGGTTAAGTTGTTCAATTACATGTTGTTAGATTTAATAAGCTAGTGAGAAGTACAATATTTAGTACATTTTAAGAAACGAGATTGGGAAAAAAGTAAGTATGGTTGACTTATAGCCTATGGTATAAATTTGGTTGCCGTGCTATTGAATGTGTGGTGATTTTAAGATATGATACTTTGAATTCAAAGTTTTTGATTTTTTTTAAGCATGACCTTACGAAAAAAATATGGATAGTGATCTATTTTTCTTTTTTTGATAAAATAGTGATCTATTTTAGGTGTTTAGATTTTATCATTTATTTGGTTTGTTTAAGTACTCTATAGAAGAGTGGGATTTAAGATTCTATAGATAGCCGAGGGTTATGGTCGCATAGAGTAATAAATTGCATTTTCATTTATGCCTTTTGTTTACAATCACTTATAGTTTCACGAGGTTTCAAGTCAAACATTAATGTAAAAGGTGTTATGACTATTAATTGCATGTTTGCCTTAGGTTTAGAGTCTTATATTGTGAAGTGATGAGTTATTGTATATAAATTCAACATTATTGTGAATGGTTTTTTTTGTGTTAATTAATTTCATAAGGATGTCGAATACAGATAGTAATTATAGTAAAAGGCGTGGGCGTGAGCCTTTGATACAAGGATCTTCATCGATGATGATTGAGGCAAATGCTTGGGCGAATACTATGTCAGCTAGCGTTGAAGGGGCATATTTTCATTTTGTATTTTCTAAATCCTATCATTCACAGGGAATTCTTTTATGTCTTGTTTTTGCAACCTTTTCACAAATCTTTTTTTTTAAAACCCAAACCCAGGATTAAAAAAACAAACAAATAATTATCCAAACTGAGCTAAGCCAAAATCAGCAAAGAGCTCAAAACCAATACAGAAACAAAAAAGTATCACACCACACAGAAAGCAAGAATATGTACCTTTAGCAGCCTGAGGAAGACACCAACAAAACAATAAAGGCCAAAAACTACAGCAATGTAACCTGAACAAAGTCCAAACACAGCATGAGTACACCAACCAAAATACTACTCACAAAACCACAGAACCTTGCAACTCAATAGAAAGAAAACAATAACAGCTCCACTGGAAATTCTACATTGACCTCTTCTATTCCCCAACACCATGCAAAATATACATCATGAACACCAACATTCAAACCTTCTTTTTTTCAAACACAAAACATCACACTAATTCAAGATCCTAAGTTAAAAAATCCAACATCAAACAAACAACTACTTTCTAACAACTCCCTTGTTAACACACAACATAACATTGATTCATTTATTTTAATCACTGGACATACTTTATTA